GACACTCGTTTATGGGTGTTTTGTTCGAGTGCAATGCATTAAATGCAAGCGATTATCTTTAGACCCAAAGCTAATCTCAGCCAAACGCTGCAGAGGTGCTTTGTGGCTGGAAGGGGGGAGGGGGATGGGGAGGGAGGGGGGGGGGGGTGCAGTCAGCGTATTGACATGCCTTAATCATGGTCCACATGCTCGACAGATTATAGATCGTTGGTCTGAGTCTCACATATGTATAACTGGAGCAGGGCACAAGCTATTCATCTGCACGCAAGGCACTTGCCAGGCTTGTGTTAGAGCTTGAAGCTTTAAGCGAGCTTTAAGCTGAGCAAAATAAACTTTAAGTTCTATTTACGTAAAGATTTGATTTAGGTTACATTAAGTGCAGCTTCAAAGGGCACCTTTCAATCTAAGCTTTAGCTTTTCCAAAGCTTCAAGCGAGCTTTTAAGCTAAGACCAAAGGACTTTAAGCTATATTTACTAAAAGATTTGATTTATAGTTGCTTTCAGTGCAGCTGTAGCTCGTCTCCAGCTTCATTCAATCTAAGCTTAATCTTTTTATCAAGCTTTAAGCGAACTTTAAACTGAGCACAAGGAACTTTAAGGTATATTTACTTAAAGATTTGATTAAGATTAGTGTGATTGCAGTTGTAGCTCGTCTCAAGCTTTAAAAACACTTATTTCAATTTAAGCCTGGTCTTTTTTTAAGCTTTAAGAGAGCTTCAAGCTGAGCAAAACGAAGTAGTTGGTTATATTTAGTTAAATATTGGATTTATGGTTACTTTTAGTATTGTTTTAGCTTGATTCAAGCTAAAAAACTACATGTCAAGCTGAGTTTAATCTTTATTCAATCTTTAAGCGAGCTTTAAAAGCTTTTTACCTTAAGATTTGGTTTGAATCTTGTTAATAGCTTAAAACAAGATTTTAAAAGAAACCTTAAAGCTACAAAGCTCATTAAAGCTAAAAAACCACGAATAGAACGCTTTGAAATATATCTTTGACAACTGTATTCCGTCAAGAGCTTTAAGCTAGTGTTAATGTAAAATATTTCAAGTTCATTTTGGTTCAACATCAACTTGAAAAGCTATAAAATAGAGCTAATGTAAAAGTCATTTGCAGAAATCTCGAAAGCTCGTTAAAAACTCATTAGCTTCAGCGTGTGATTTCCTTATTTGAGAGCGTAGCTAATTTTGCAATTAAACTCCAGTTGCGACAAATATTATTCAACTCAATTAGTTTCCTTTTCAGCTGGAGTCATATTTGCATAGCTTATAAGATATTTAAGAAAAAGACACGCTGTAAATTTGTTGTGGGGCAGCTACTTTTTATCGAGGGGGCCAAATACACAGAAAGTGAACTTTGTTTTTGCTCGCATTTCAAGTTTTTTGTCACTTGATGCGTTAAAATTCGCAACTAGTTTAAGCTGTGAGCCAGTGCCAAGCTCTGAGCCGGGTTCTTGGCTGCTCAGTTTTTCATTTGCCATTTATTTTCCATTCTTGAATAAGGAATTGTTCAAAAATCAATTAAATAATATTTGGGCTTTTAAAAAATCGCAATTTTTCGACATTTTTTTTCTCGCAAATTCAACGCAAATAATTGTTTACACGTTTTTTCCGCTTCTCGTAACATTTATTTAATTAATTTAGAGCGTTAAATTTACAAATTGCAAATGATATTCGCAACCTATAACAAGCAATTGACCCATTTGTGTTAATGTTAACACTGTTAGTTGCCGCGCAGGGGGGGGTGCCAATACGGCATTCTGGGGGGGGAGGGGGGCTGGGAGCGTGACATGTAATGCCAAGGGGGGTCGGAGAGGGGGAGGGAGGGGGGGGGGGTGCCACTTGAACGTGCATCGGACGACGCCTTTGATAAGAGCGCTGGAAATTCAATCAACGCGAATGCACTCGAAAAATATACATATATATTCACTATTGTGAGGCAAAGTGAATCGCCCACATGTAAATGACACTCACTTGCACACACACACACACACAGAGACACACACACGCGTAGACTTTACACTGGGAATGCATTGGACATCAACTGAAAGCGGAGGCGCAACAAATTGCACGCATCTCGTCGCACAATTGAGAGAGGGTTGGCATTTGTTACCCCTAGGGGTAACTGGGGGCACATGTATACCCATATATATATATAGACATATATATATACATATATATATATATATATATATGTATATTGCTTGTGCGTACAAATGGCACACTGCCTGTGGCTGCAGCTGAACAAAAACAAGACCGAAACCGAAACCGGAGATGCCACGCTTTATAAACTGTATTAAACCCATTTATAATACATATAGATATACTAAGAAAGCCCTTACCCCTGCTCTTCCTATATATATATAATTATATATAGTTCTGCAAAATATTTGCCATTTGTCATCGTTGCTGTTCGAGATATTGACACAGATTTCTTGGGAAACACCTCTTTGAACTCGATTTGAAGAAAAATAATTCACAATTTCAAATGAAATCATTTTAAACATTTTTTCCTTTTTAAACTAAATAAAGATCTTTCGGGAAATTAGAGATTGATTCACATGCAAACTAGAAAACTTTTGCGAAATTCTCTAGAAATTCGAAATTGATGCGTAATTTAAAATGAAAAATTTAAAAATAATCTGTCCTTTATTCAAACTATAAAGTTGAGAGCTTTCGACTTTTTTTTCGGAATTTAAAGATTGATTCACATTTTAAAAATGTTTTTACTTTTCAAACTTGAAATATTCAGGAAATATATTTTTGTTGGATCAATTTTAAGCTGATTGAAAAAATTGGGAAATATATTTAAGTTTTTTTAAGCCTTTTTTTTTTTTTTTTAGAAATTTTTTAAATCGATTTACAATTTAAATCAAAATCATTTCATTTTTTATTTCAAACTCGAAACTTGAGAACTTTTCGAAAATTGTAACATTTTCAGAAAATATTCGAAATGAATCACAATTTTAATTGAAATCATTTTGAAAGCGGTTTTTGCTTAGAACCTTCAAAAATCAAAGCTTTAGAAACTTTAGATAAAATTGAAATTATTTAAAACAGTTTTTGACTTCAAAAAAAAGAAGTATAGAATTCTCAAATTACCCAAAACTAACGATAGTGCAAATATTCACATACATTTGATCAATTGGGATACAAATTGGGAAACTCTTTTGGAACCGCAGCATTTCCCCTTTGCGAGGTATCACTGTGAGTTTCTTCTTCCTGCACTTTTTTGGTTCAGTCGAGAAATCAAATCTTATTGAAAATATTTGCCTAATGGCTTATATATGTATATATATATATTTATATGGATGTTTATGCGTTGACGTCCATCACATTATTTGGAAATGCAAAATTTGTTTTTCCGTGACGTCACAGAAATTCCATTGTTTATACGAGGCTCAACTTTGGCAACGACAATTGCAGCGCAGATGCCAAATACGTTGCGCAGCCCAAATTTGTCTGGGGCATTATGTTGTTGGCTTTGCGTAATTATATTTATCTATCGATCAGTCCGTCATTCTGTCAATCTGTCATTCTGTCAATCTGTCAATCGTCCATTGCGGACACTCGCCGCATGCAAATCGGAAGTTGAAGAGCTCTCAATTTGTTGGTGGTTGTCGTTGTCGTCTTTATACACAAATCGATCGGAACCGGCAAAGTAAAGGTACAAGTGAGCGTGCCTGACTGCAAGATACCCTGTAACTGGGCGGCGTTATCTAAGAAGTAAAATATTCAGGGTGTGTCTATACCATACGAGAGCCTGCATACAAAAGTTGACGATTCTAGCTATTAAAATCCTCGAGATATGGCTAAAGAAATGTAGCTTTAAAACTGATATTTATCGATATAAGCCCCATAATCTATATTATACCAGTTTCCCTGTCTCTAGCTATTAAATTCTTTGAGATCTGGCTAACTATAGGTTTGCCTCAATATCGATATTTATCGATAGTTCGATATTATACCCCATAATCTATAGCGTACCCAAATGTGATGTCTCTAGCTATGAAAGTCTTCGAGAAATGGCTACAAATGTTTGATTTGAAATCGATATTTATCGATAATTCGATACTGGTATGAAATAGATTTACGTATATGCATTTGAAATGTAAGTCCTCTAGCTCTTATAGTTTTCGATCTTGGCTAAACCGACTCAGTTTGACGGCCCAGATCAATAATATATGTAATTTGTTTCCTTCTGCCTGTTACATATATTTGCACACAACCGGAATACCCTATTATCCTCATTTTTGCACTGGGTTCGGGTTATAATGAATGCAAATCGATGCCTGACACTGGCTATCAATTCTGAAAATGTGCTCAGCTTAGCTATTATAAGAGCCAAGTCTAGTCGAGTGGAGAAGGGGGGGCCGTCGCATCCGGTCTGATTTGTTGCAGCAGGTTGAAAAGCTTGGCCTTGACTTTTCTGGCCGTACATGTGCAAAAATCAATGCCCACAACAATGGAAAAGGCTGCACGGCAGTACCAGGCAATAAACAGGGGGGCGTATACATAATACGAGGGTCGCTCAAAAGCTCAACAAAGCTCCAGTCAGATAACCTAGTTTGAAAGCACATGAAAGCTCTATGAACAAAAAAAAATTAATGAAACTTCTGTGTTTCGAGCGGGCTAAAAGCACATGAAAAGCTTACGTATGCTGAAAGCTAATCAAGCAACTAAAAGCTATCAAACCAATCACAAATTAAACGCAAGCTGCAAAATCACACGAAAGCTCCGTGCAGTAAGAGCACACAAAGCTCTAAAGGAAGAATAAGGACAAGTTTTTATAAAAGCTTTTGCATATGAAGATTTTAAACACTTAAAAAGCTCGGTAACGTACTTGAAAGCTCATTAAAGCCCCACAGATGCATTTGCAAGCTTTCAAAGCACATGAAAGCGTCAAAAACTTGAATTTTTGAGTAGCAGAGATGACATTTGAATGCATTTGAGTCCCACAACTGAGGGTCTATCCCCCCGAAAAGCTCAATTAAAGCTTCTTACCTGTTAGCCCGAAGAGCGCCGTCGCAGATATCCACAGCCTGGCCGAAATACTGTTTGTGGTCACCCAACGCATCATTGTTGAGCAGCAGGACAAAGGGCGTGGGCAGGAACTCATCGAGGAGATGACTGTGCGCCTGGGCCTTGCTCAACATGCTGATGGCCGTGGCTGAGGAGCACGAGGATGTGGTCGATGTGGACGATGTGGACGAGGCGTTCGATGAGCCCGGCGAGGGCGATTCTGTCGCTGTGGGCGTGGCTATCGATAGCTTGGACGCGTGCTTATTGGAGCCAAAGCTGCGGCGAATTGACTGCAGGCTCTGGCGCAGAAAGGACTCGCGTTTGATGTTGTCGCCGCGTCGCTTCGCCGGCTGCGGTTCGAGGCACAGCGTCTCGTTGGCCGTCTCGAAGTGCACCTTGGCTGGCAGCGACTGTGGGCGTGGCAGCTGGCCATTTGCCGCGGGCAACTGCTCGAGCAGCTCCACGAACTCGTGCGGACTGCGGCGCAGCAGCTGTGCCTCCTGCTCGCTGATGAGCTCCGAGGCCAGCTGCTCCTCCAGCGCCTTGCCACGTTTCGCCTTCGTCTTCGCTGGCTTTTGTTTGTTATTGGGCTTCTTCAGGCGCGCCTTTCTCGTGGGCTGTTCGCCGGCGACCAGCATCAGGGAGGCGATGTCCGGAAATGGCTTCAGATCGGGCGATCTCAGCAGCTCAACTTTGCCACCAGACGGATTGTTAATAATATTATTATTATTATGATGATTATTGTTGTTGTTGTTGTTATTATTATTATTAATATTGTTGTTGTTGTTGTTGTTGCTGCTTGGCTTCTCAATGAAGCTGTACGATTTGATGAGAAACAAATTGGATTTGTTCTTTTTGGCCTTTAGCTGCTGCAATGTGCTGTCCGCCTCCGTCGATGACTCGACGTTCCCATCGCCGTTGACCTCCTCGCTGATTGTGGCCATTGTTTGAGTTCCTTCTCTTTTGCTTATTATTTCACAATGTTCTCTCTCTCTCTCCCTCTCTCTCTCTCTCTCTCTCTCTCTCTCTCTTTTATTTACTTATTTTCTGCTTAGTTTATTGTTCTAGTTGGCAGCCTTTGCGTGTTTTCACTATCAACAACAACATCTTCTCGATCAGCTCTCTCGCTTCTTTGGCTCTGGCTGTAGAAAGAAGGGCAGAGCCAAAGTTATTTTTATGCCGTCGCGTTGACATTGCCCGAGTGTGCCGGAGCGGAGCAGAGTGCGAGCAGTTCAGGCAACGGGAGGTCGATCAACTATCCCACACACACACACTCACACACACACACACACACACACATGTGATATTGAATGGCTGCATTTGTATTGGTGAGCTTTCGAAAGCTCGCCTGCAGCAGGCGTGCAAATAGCAGCTGCTGCTTCATGCGTGAGACTCGTCTGTGTGAGTCTCTTGTGGCAAAGCGGGTTTGAGCCGCATCGGTTATGATCGGTTATGACCGGTTATGACCGGTTATGACTCATGAACCGCAATTGACATATCTTTTAAACTACAAATCGGCCCTTTGTTAACTCAAACTTAAATCACATTAACCTGAACTGTAAAGTCAAAAACAAAAAACAATTCTTTTAAATATCGAAACGCTTACGATGTTCTTAGCTGGATACCTATAAGTCTCTTGTTTCGATATAGAAAATATATTCGTCTATGGCTGGCTACTCTCTCGATTTTTAAGATATCGTAATTATACTTGAGTCTTTTACCTACAAGCACCAAAAAGTCAAAAATTCTCCATTAAAATCGGAATCAATACAAATTCTGATATTAGAGTAAATATATGATATGTTTCTTAATTGTTTTCTTTATTTAAGTATAGCATTTTAAAAAAAAAACTACATTATATTCAATAATTTTTTGTTTTTCGAAAATTTAGGCTATTCGAAATTCGAATTTTAATTGGAGTCAGCTCTGAAAGTGCTTGATCCATTGCATTTAATTATAACAATCATATATCATATATGTAGCTCCAATTGGAGCAGTCTTTGAAATTGTAAATTTTCAATTATTAACAGTTTTGGGTGCTTTTCTTTATATCTCGACTAAGCAATCTAGACCCTAACAAATGTTTAGATATTATGGTGCATAATCTGTCTGTCAGGGTATTTAATCTTCAACACTTAAAAAAAAAAAAAAAATCATATTTCACGCTGAATTCACAGTTTTGGCCAATTGTCTGTCATCTGTACATGTTTACAGTTAAAAGCCATAAAGCTTACAGTTCTAATGTGGGACCCGACATTATCATAGATCTCTTAATTAAGAACGAAATTAATTTAACAGTATCTGCTAATTTTTATATAGTTAGCAGCTCTGTTAAAAGTTATTTATATGCCTGAAATATCGTTAACAAAGAGCTCGCCCGAGTGCCAACTGATAATTATTCGAACTTCAATCATGATTATCATAGATTTAGATAATAAATATATATATGTATATATATAGTACAATAAACAAGGCTTTCTTTTGCGTAATCGTACTGCAGATGCGCGCTCTCTTTCTAGCATCAGCTGTTTGCCTATGCATGTGTATGTGTGTGTGTGTGTCTGTTTGTTTGTGTGCGGGTATTTGCTAGTGAAGTTCTTTTGCCCCTGTCAAACAATAGATGGCGCCACGCAGCAGCCGCCCGGCATTTGACAACACTCTTCTCTCTCCCTCACACACAGGCACGCACACGCTCTCACTACGCGCCGTACGTGTTGTTGTTTTGGTCTGGCCAGCAGCTATTTGCTGTGCGCGTGTATTTGCTTTTACCGCTAGTTGTGGTTGTCGTTGTTGTTGTTGTTGTTGTTGTTGCTGCTGCTGCTGTGGAGTACAATTCTTTTCTTATTTAATTTGAATTTGTTCTTTGCTTTTTTGTTTTTTTGCATTTATTTTTGGCCACGACACACAGCCAACAATTTCCGTCACTTTTTGCTTTATGATGTCACTTGGCCGTACTCCCGGCTACGTAAATGTCTACGGCTCCGTTTCCCGCTAGCCGTTGTTTTGCGAAAAATGTTTGATCGAGGTTGTTAGTTGTTAGTTTGTTTTGCGCGTCTTTCGCTTTGTTGTTGTTAACGCCAAACTAATTCGCCGCAATTTATAAACATTTACACTAAAATGGACTTTTTATTTGTTGATAAACTTTATTGTTGTCGTGTATGCGCGCGATAGCTGCTAACGGCAAACAAAAAACAAACCGAGCACACGAAAAAAAATTTATATATGTACATATATAAAAAACAAAAAAAAAAAACTGTTTATGTATTTGAAAAGAATAAAAACACAAAATGTGGAAAAGCGGCCACCGCTGCTGCTTGAAAAGCGCTCTCTCGCTCGCTCTCTCCCGCTCACTGGCTGCCCGTCCGCTTTGTCGTTCGCTTTCGCACTGAATTTGAAATTGAAGCGCCGTTGCGGCCAGACCCACCGTCCAGCCAGGCAGCCAGCTGAAGCAGCAGCAGCAGCAGCAGAGGCAGCAGCAGCAGCGGCAGCAACAACAGCGGCTGCGGCAGCCCTACATCAACAATATCTGAGACGACGCGGCGAACAGGCAACCACATACGACGGCGAATCGTGGCCACATGCATGCATACGATTATGTCTGTGTGTGTGTGTGTGTGTGTGTGTGTGTGTTTGTGTATTTAACTTCTTCGGCGCGCTTATCATGCTGCGTTGCGTTGGCGTCAACGTCGACGTAGTCGTCGGCGTTGCTTTTCTGCTATTGTTGTTAAGAAACTTAACAATGAAAAGAGAAAAGAAGACCCGGCCGCAGAGGCAGACTAAAGTTCTGTTCTCGCTCGCGCTCTCTCGCTCTCTTTTTCCGTCTCGCTCTGCCTGCCAGACAGGTGTTTGGTTTATCTAAGGAAGCAGCAGCTGATGCCAACAGATCTGCAGCTGAGATTTAACTATTAACTATTAACCGTTAAGCGCATGTTGCTGTGCCCACCTTTCGCTCAGCGAATTGGTTTTTTCTTGCCAAATTTTCTGTTATTTTTCGTGTTATTTTTTTTTTTAGCTGACCCCAAAACCGTTGACCAACAGACAACACACAACACTTTTTTGTTTCCCTTTGGCTCCACATGATGATTTGTCAGTTTTGCTTTTGCCATTGTGCAAAAATAATTAAGGCGAAAAATAATAATTATACAGCATTAAAATATACAGACGAACGACTAAGACTAAAGAGAAATACAACAACCCGTTCGCGCCCTCACCTGACCAACAATGCGCTATCTTACACGGAATAAATGGCGTGGTCGGGGTGGGGGCTGCCCCTGCCCCTGCACGCCCGCTAGCCGCACCCACCAGCCAATGTTCTCTAGTCTTAATTGAACTTTTACCGTATTATTTTCGATAAAAATCCAAAGATAAGTGGGCGAGCGTTTATCGATATGGCAACACTGTTGTTAAGTGCTGCACTAAACTGAATTCGCCGCGGCGCCCCCCTCACCACATCCCACCACACACACACAGCTGTCAAGTTCGGCGCGTTGTAAACCCAGGCGCTAGTCATGGTCACCCCACAGATGAGCTATGCAAAACCGCATCCGACAAAAACAACAACAACAACAACAACGACAACAAGTCGCAACCTTCACTTTGTCTAACTCTTGATCTGCTGGGGCCTCTGTATATACCCTGTACCCCTTAGAGTTAGATACAGATGAGTATGATAAGGTTGTGCTTATTCATGCAGAAGAAAAGGCAGGGTATCCACGGCTACAAAGCTTATAATTTCGTATGCTATGTGGGTAGAGCCAAGTTCAAGCTTTCAATATCGGAATCGATAACAATTGGTTTGAAACCCAGAACCTTGAACCCTCTTGACATATAGCTTTCGCAGATCAAGTATATTTGGAACTGCTTGTTCTAGTTCCGATAAATATCGATATTAGGCCCATCTTTTGAGTAGATATTAGGGACTATAAGAGTTAGGAGTACCATGATTTAATATGCTGATTATCGAATACCATATTTAAGATTCAATTTAAAATTCTGATTTTAGAATCGATAATATATCGATTTCCAGCCGCCCCGTTTTGGAAAGGTCTGCGAAAGTCAGAGACCAAACAGTTTGAAATGCAGATCATCATATATCTTACCTAGATGGGATATGTATATCAGATTTGGAACTGCTTCTCTCTTTGCCAAATCGATAAAAATCGATTTCTAAACTTTCTTTCTAAATGATTTTTGGTTAACATAGAATATAGAAATCTGAAATTTGGTAGACAGATTATTATTTACCATAGAAAATTGGCAAATATGCTTCAGAAATATTGTAAATCTGCCAAATCGATAAATATCGATTTACTGAGACGCTTTCTTGAGTTAATCTATAAGATCTGAATATCTCACTTATGTTAGATTTTTACAAGTGCATAGATCAAGTCTATTGCAGTTTTCCCAAATCGATAAATATCGATAACAAGTCGAAATGTATCAAAGCGCTGTGTTTTAGTGCACTTCAGGCCTGTTTACAGGGTATCTTAGGGGGCAGCACTCACGACTAGCGCACGCTTAACTTGTTTGGCTTTTTTGTGGGGCGTCACTTTCATGGGGCGTTTTGTTTGTTTAATAGTCCCATTAAAAGATATGATGTTGTTGTCTCTGTGAGCAGGTTCCCGCGCTGGGATCGGATCAAAGATGGGCAAGAGCGAAATAAAAGCTCAAAGTGAAAACGAGTTCGTCAATGAAAATGTTGCAATTGGCAACTTTTCCGGGCGAACGCAAATCTATTAAACAATAAAACGTCACGTTGATAGCAAAGTTGCGTAAGGCACGAGGGTAAAAAAAAAAAAAAACAGAACAAAAAAACACAGAAATCAAAATTAATCTTTGCACCCTCCAAAAGCCATATGACTAATGGCTTCCAGGTGTTCGACATTTCGGCAGATATGACAGCAAAATATGCTGTACACCTGGCCAATGAACTAAGTAAATTATGATACGAACATGTATACTATAAGAGCCCTATCTATCGATATTACTGCGCCCTCAACAGGTGGCCCATTCGTAATATCTAAATGGAACCCGGAAAAGCACCTCACGGGCTTCCCATGACTAACAACTGTCTCTCCTATCTATGCTAGTCCATATTCCCACAATTGATCGCGCCCAGCGATCTATCTAGCACATAT